TGTTCGGGACACAAGCCGTCACTTTTCAATTGCCTCCTATTGCCAAATATGTGCATGCTTCGAGTAGACGGAAGAACGTTTACCGACTCGACAGCTTGCAGAAGTGTGTACACGCACGGTGTGCGCTAAATTAATCAGGAGGATTTCGGTACCGATAATTTCCATCAACAAATGGACTAAATTCAATTGCCTAAGGAAACCGCACACGTAGGTGTGCATTTGTATTAAAATGTGATTGACTCATAGAAGGATATGTGGCGAGCAGCAACCGAATACAGCAATCGTGAGCGAACGCTAGTAGCAGGCGTGTGCGGACATGATTTAATTGGTTTACGTGAATGCACTTCACGTAACGGTGTTCGATCAGGGATCGGTATTTAGCCAACCTTATGCATGCTGACTTGCCATCCCGTACAACGCACACACACACACGACGATGACCTTGTTAAGTCCTTGAATAAACGGTTGACTCTCTGTTCTTCCGCAGTCTTTATCTTTGTTGTTTAGTTAGTGGCATATGGCGCCGCAACAGATCCTATGGCAAACGTCAATTCTTTATCGTCTATGCAAACATCCAGATGTTAAAGGCAGAAAGAAAAACGTATAAGACCTCAGTTGTAGCATAACTGACTCCACTTTTCGTAACTGATTTATGAAAATGTTGTTTAACCTCATAAGTAGTAATATTATATTAATCATTACTACTGCCTACATCCCCTCGGACCCACTCTTTAGGTATTTTGATAAATTTGTTGAAGAATGTGTATAAACTCGGACTTGCGACAGATCGAAATTTAAAAATTAGAAGACTAAGACTTAGATTTCATAGTAACAGCACTGTCGGAAGCATTCAATTTTGGTATTTTAGTAATGTTTTGCAAACATTTACTTTCAACACTCCGGTGTCCTTTCACACAAATCTACAGGCAGCTCTGGCTACAACTATTGGACAGATAGGGGTGGCAGCACAAACGCAGTCGAGTTTTTTTTTAAAAAAAAACTCATAAAATCAGTCACCTCAGAGTGTCGATTCACACGGCAACAGGGGCCTGGAGACATTAAACTTCGACTTTTCCACAGGTCGTGAACACGTGTCCATCACAGCTAGAGCAGATCTCATCAAGGTCAGGACCCACACTTGAGAGCAGATGCCACCAAATTTGCTCAAACAGGCATAAGTGAAAAAAAACGAACAAGCCAAAATGCTGTTACTACTAAGCGTTTGTCACATTTACGTGTAAAAGCAAACTTGCATCATTCCCCACATTTTCAAATATTAGGCACACTTAAATGTACGAAGCTTTGCGTTTGATTGGTTTTTTCATCATGAAAATTTTAGGAAAATCCACTAACTTCAAAACTTTTTAATGTGATCTATTTGTATATTTTGGGGAAGTTTAGGCAAGTAGGCTCTTTCGTTTGTCTCCTTCATCTTAATTGTTTCCTAGGGAACACCAGATTGAATTTGTTAATAGTTTTCTTGCCTCTTTCAGGATTGGCAAAAACAACTCAATTTGCATTTGCAGTTAAATTGACACGGAAATATTCTCAAAGTCAATAAGAATGAATTTAGGTGACGAAATGTAATATAGTAGAGTTGCTGTTCAAAAGCTGAGTAGCTACTTCCTTTTTTTAAATAATCACATGAGGAGGGGGAAACCAAACTCAATGTATAAAAACCTAAAATAATTTGCTTGATTCTTCTGTAGTTATGTTGGGTCAGCTAGTAAACACGCGCACACTTATCCCAGGTTAGATACCCGGACTACTTTCAGTTGAAAGTTGTAAGTGATAAGCAGAGGTATTAAAACTCCTGTACACCAAAATGCACTTTGTTTGCCCGCCAGGAAGTCAATCTTGGGCGTTGCCGTATTTGTGCCCCAAGTCACTTGCAATTACTGATTCTTCTTGCCACAAATGGCTTCGACATACACCCAAATACCTATTACTCAGGCCACATAACTCTGTAAGTGTGCACCAGCATAGAGACGTTAGCACGTTAAGTCATTAGTTCACCTTCATTCCTGCAGTAAACCAAAGATCGGTGAGTCACTTTAATCTTGATTAAAGTTAATTTGTTCATTTTCTTTATAATATAAATACTCCTGCTTGCGTACATCCTGTTTCAGAAAGCTACCCAGTTTTCGCTACTATACGTGAAGATGTGCACATCAAAAGGGACTTAAAACTCTGGAACTGATAATTTTATGCGCCTTCCAAATGTGCAAGTAATCATACACTTATTTTATTCTATTTATTAACTAGCATCAAGTAATTTGAAATAATTAGCTACACATTATTACAGTTTCAGTCAATTTCCAAACTTTTATTCAAACTTCCCAATTATAACATGACGAAGTAAGATTTTCATTAAAATGAGTTTTTTTTTGGAAAAAGTCTTTTTAACACTGGATGCCTGATGTTGAACTACAACGAATACAATATGACGATCTACTAAACGCAAATTAGGTCTGACATTTTTACAATTTTAGTTGGCTGATACTAGAAAATTGTATAACAGAAAAAGCACAATCACGGTCGGCGCAGTTTCTATTAAATCTATGTAGTATTTTGTTTTAGATACTTTGAGGGCTCTTCATGCTTTCGTTGATTTACCCTCCGGAATTTGAAGAGATACCATTGAAGTGATGCATTGGTAGAAGGGTTGACGATCACAGCCAACTCTAGAGATTTGGTCAAACAACTCTTAAATGTCAGTTTCTGTTATTAACCTGATTCCTTTGCCTTCACTTAACTTAGAAGCTTCCAGTTAGATTACATCACCTTTGGCCTGTTCGATGCTACCAGAGCTCTTCGAAGTCGCATATTATGCAAAATTTACCAAATTACTTGTGAAAAATTGAGGTTTTAGGTTATTTATAACAAGCGCACCCCACTTAAGTCTTGTGAGCTTCCTCAAATATTTTTTTCTTATTAAAAACAGAATATTCAGTCGCTAAGGCCATGCTTATGGGAAGCATGCATGTTCTCTCCTTGGGCACATTTCATTATTACTACGAACTCACGAAGAACCACTTTCCAAAACGCACTTCATTACATTTATAAACTTGTTTTCCAATCATTTATAGAAGTCTGAAAAAAACAGCTCACCGTAATGAAAAGAACAAAAGACCCATTTCCCATATATACTCTAAATTATATGTCACCCTAAGAAAACTAGTGGCAGCATCAGATGCTATTTGACTAGTTCGTGACTCCATCGCCACAATGAAAAAACTGGCAGGCTAAACAGTAATTATTTACGGCTAATGTGGATTTTAATTTTAGATTTTGAGTTTAAACCAAGACAATCTTCGTAAACTGTAACTTTCTACCTCGAAATCCTTGTCACTAAAGTATTCACAATCCTACACTAAGCATAGCTGGTTGCTATGAAAATCTGTAACCGGACACCACGCCCATGAGCCGCCACCGTTTATAGCAACTTGTTCTGTCACTTTCTGTTTCTATTTTTAACCCCTAATGCTCTTGTCCACTTAATTCATTCATTGCCAGGTGCTTCCAAACTTCTGAATGTTTGTGTGACCCAAAAGATCTTCTTAAAAGCTAACACAACAATCATAGATTTGATCATATGTGGTTTTACACTCACCTTTGGATTTTGAAAGAAAAAACGTTTTGACTAAGTAAGTCGATGGTTAACAAGCCAGTGTGGGCGTCTCTATGGTGCCAGCTAAAGCAACTCGCGTGATTGCGTGTGTCACCATGGTCTGATTCAACGTAATTTGTTAGTTAGATTGCTGACCAACTAAAATTAATTTTCTGACTTGCTATAAAATGAAACTGTTATTACTGTCCTTCATTATTTCCTATCAAGAGTTTGTCTATATGGTGGCTTCTTTCATGGTCTGCCAAATAAATCAATTGCACGTTTCTATCTGCTGTTTCAGCACACCAAAACCTTCATGTTTGATACGCATTAACCAATTTCGATGTGCCTTCAAAAGCGTTGTTGCCTTGATTTATGTTGTTTTAATTGTATGAGTTCAGGCGTCCATTTAAGCTTGATTAAGTAATTGGTCATTGAATTTAAACCACAGGCGCTAAAGACACTTATTAGTGTGTGAAAACGGTAACCATGGCCATGGGAAAGAGAAGTAAGGTAATCGCTAATCGCACGCCTGTGTATTCGATAAAGCATTAAGAAACAGTCATCTGACCCCGTTCAATTGCTTTACCATTTTATCGCAAAGAATTCATAAGGGTGGTGTGCCTACAACAGAACCTGCTGAATAAGTACGTAAAAACCAGTTTTGAACCCGCAGTCAAGTCTCTATCTAATCTAGCTTATCTCCATATCCTGCGTACTGCTAATTTGACATTAAAACAAAACCTCTCAGTTTTATGTAATGAACTAATATAAGTTCCCTGTTTTACGCAAACTGATAGCAGGAGTTAGTAGAAGTTCGCCATGGTACCACAGCAATAAAGGTGTTTGATACCCCTGACAATTATCTTTCAACCACCCGTTGTTGATAAAGATAAGTCATTTTTTTCCTCTACGAAATGGTATTTGATAAGTTAGCAATAACGCAAATGCGCATGGTACCAATAAAAAGGATGAAATAAAACTAAGGTTAACAAGTCGATTAGTAGTATAGTGATAGATCGGCCTGACATTGCACGAAAAACTTCAGTATTATGAAGCATATTTGAATCTTGAAAAATTTAATTGATCATTGCCATTACTTATTAACAGCACATATTCGATTTTTCAAAATGAAAGGCAGTCATCACGGAAAGATACAGTAGTAAATCACTTCTTGAATCCGAATTCTGACGCAAGCACCGTAGAAAGTAATGACTTAGTAGTATTATAAGAGTCTGGTAGATCAAACCGGAGTGTTGCTTGATAGATTGCTGAAGTACAAATCCCAAAGTCAGATTTGAACAAATCTATACAACAATGAAAATGTACAAAGGCGAAGTCGATGGAACATTAGTGGTATAAAATGCAGATGATAAAATCAAAAAACCCGTCAGATGAAGAGCTCTGGTTTCACATCAGGGTGTCCGTTAGCCTTGTTTCGAAGTGCGTCATCGGCAGAGGGGAGCTGGGAGTGTCCGAGGGCCTCGTCAGTGTCGTAGGCACTTTGGTAGCCCGCACGTCGATGCCGACAGCAGTAGACAACAATTACTATAATTATTATGAGGACAACGAAGAACACAACTAAAAAAGAGAAATAAAAGAACCTAAAAATTTTTGCTTGATTTTGATTTTGCTTGTTCTAACAAACATAAATCCAATAATCAGATAAGTTAGGATACCTGATCACCGTTGAGGGGAAATCTGAATATGTTTATGGGAGGAAACAGAGCTAGTTTAAGGACAATCGAAATTTGAAGAAAATCAAGTTTTAAAATCTAACAGTGCGTTGCTTACAGAGTTATAGAATCGAAAAAGACCATCTGAAAGATTCGCAAGGAAAAAATGTTTGGAGTTTAATTTAAATATAATCCTGCTGGAAGGTTTGTGAAATAGGCACAAAACCATTCTGGAACGGAGAGGTTGCGTTCACTCCTATCGAAGGTTTACTTGGGTTATAGAAGTGTTGCCCTTCTGGGAAGGATTTTAGTTCTGGTGTTTAATTCCTATTTATTAGAGACGTCTTATAAGACGTTGACCCCTGATTCAATATAGTATCTTTAGTTAACTAACACAGCTGTCCTTTGAATTCTGGTTAGTATCTCAGTGCGCATCAGAAAGGAAGATCGGGTCTATGGCATGCCAAAGTTATAAGGGTGATAAGAGTGGAAGAAATGAACTTAAAATCACATTAATACCAATATGTGGCTTGCAATGTTCTTGTTTGATTTGGTAGATTAACGAGTGCTTTTTCCATTTCGCTAATTTAATTAGCTTTGTTTGTAGTTCAAAAAATTAAACTTTGTTGCATTATACGCATGATTTTTTTGAAACAGTTTGCTAGAAACGGGATTTTGTCAAACTCCTGTTGGCTATTCTTCGACAACAACTAAGTAACGCTTTACTCTTTGAAATGAAACGTTTCACAAGTTTACGAAAGACATTACCGTTGGTATAAGGCAAATATTAAAATAGAATTCAGATGGTTTGGTTATTACCTCATTGAAGTACATAGATATTAAAAACACGTGTCTTCAACAGTGTTTGCCAAAACAAACGTAAAAACAACTGCCATTTCATAAAGACATTCAAAAAAATAAATGGAGATATTATTGCTTAGAATTTTCGAATTGCTAAGCAATTTTCATCTAACAAAACACAACAATGTCAAGTATATCAAGTGGTTTTAATTTTCAGCTTAAAATATGCATTACTAAATGCTTTGTCAAAAAAGAAAATGTTTTAATTAGCTGCAGTTCACCTATTTAAAAAAAGACAGATTAAATGAAAGGCTGGGGCAATAGAAATGTATATATGAGTTATTTTTCCCAAGCTTAATAACAAAATCACTCAACTTATTTTGTAAACTAGTCGTATCTTAGATGATAACTGTTAAAATAAGCAGGACGCTCTCATTTTAAACTTAAAACAAGAATCTGAAAATGTTTACATACCACCGACTGATATAGCCGTTATTGCTGCAGATGATAATACTGTCGATGAAGGCGTTAAATAATATGCACTAAAAGCTTCAAGGTAGGAACTGTGAGGTTGTAATACTTGCACAGGAGATGACATCCTTCTGACTAAACCATTTATTGCACCCGGTATTTATTTGTGTGTACATTTAGAGCAGTAAAACAAAACGTCATCAACTAAAACGACAACAATAAAATATATGTTGTTTAGTTTTTAACCATTTAATTTATTAACAGCAAATATTGTAAATGTACGTAGCCCACTACATTGATTTTACGTTTTTTTTAATTTTAAATGGAATTTTTAATTTATTCGTCTCATTTATTAGAAATCCGCCATGCATCTATTTTCTTACAAAAATAATTAAATATATTGTAATTTTTCGAGTGTCTATTTCGATTATCAGTAATTCTCATATCAGCCTTCGCAAATTAGTCTCTCATATTTTAAATGAAATCGCATTATACCATTATTGGCTAGTTCTTTCACAATTTTAGAAATTATAATCAATTCAACGACTTGTGGAGGGTTAATACCAGACATGCAGCCACAACGTAAAGCAGTTCAAGAATAATTTTTAAAAAAATTTAGGAAAACGGACAGGTGAGAAATACTTTTTATTAAATTTTTAAATTTCTTTTTTTTAAATAAGTAATATACCATTAGCAGGCATAGTTTTAAAGTACAATCTTTATATCTCTGTTCCGCTCAGGTGATAACGGCATTAAGTGTTCTTACGTCGATTCTCGTACATGATTACTTGTTTATATTTATTTTTGATTTTTTGCCTGGAAGAATACGCTGTACTTCTGACCTACTGAATTTCTTAATTACATGCTGACGGTCAAAAAAATTAAGCAGATGGAAAAATGCTTTTGGAATTTGTTGATATCATTCATTTATGAAGTTCACAGTTGCCGATCATACTAATTTATGGTTTACGGCACTATTCTCTCTTTCACTCCCACCAATTTTTAGTCGGATGAAGCTAAAATTTAGATATCTGTCGTTTGACACAATGCAGCAGGTTAAATATTTGGGAATTTTTTGCAAACATGGCAAATGAAACATTTTTTGTGATTTAAGTAATTCCGTCAATTTTTTTAAAAACAACATTTTTAAAATCCGGTTCCAAAACCTCTGTGCCTGAAACAGTATGATCCGTTTCACATAAATTTGCTCTTTATATCTGCAACATAAAATCTGAATTTAATTCCTGTCTAGATCTTTCAAGTAATTTTGTTCTAAAGCGTGAGTTATGAGCTTCTTTATCTCTTTTTTACCCTCTTTGAATTGCATACTGTTTCGAAATAATTCTTCCTTAACGCAAGTTTGGTCATCATTTGTTTCATCCTGCTAAGTTGGCCTTTGCTATTTTACCGAGATTGCTCGTTTAAGTTTGATATTGTAGTGAATCCCAAGGTATCGCAACCGCCATCCCAGTAACGTCATAACGACTTTCTATGTTTTCTTATCCCTCAGAGCAATTAGGCCGTAATACTAGTTACAACTTTGCCGGCTCCCACTTTTTTTCAGATTCTCCGTTTATACAAAATTAAACCCCTCTACCTTTCTATGGTAAAACATGGCTGAGAGAGGATGTTTCTTCTTCTAAGCTACACAAAAAAAAGCTTCCTTATATTTGTACCGTCTCTACCCCATTTGTATGTTGTTAGAATATATCGTGTGTTAAAGAACAGTTTTATAAACAAGCATAAGACACCATCTACACTTTACGCATCATAATATCCTCGCAAATGGATAATAATGTTTTGTGACAATTTGTTATCCTTTTTGGTAATAGAGACTTGCAAATAATAACTCACAGGAGTGTATTCTAATATCGAACCATCTTGTGAAAAAAGCGTTTATACGTTTTTTCACTTTATCTAGGGCCGTAAATGAACTTTATCCTTGAACTCCTTGATTTCTTATATACACACATAACATGGACAAGCTTTTTAATACATTTCATAATCTCTGCATTTACAATTTTTTGATGTAATTATATCAATTCGCTTTTCCTTGCAATGTTTCACGTCAAATCAGTTAAAGCTAATTTACATGTTTAAGTTATCAATAAAGAATTAGGTATATGCAAGCACAGCCTAAACAATAATATACTTAACATTATTGTAACTATTCTCTAGTTTTTTATCCAATGTACGATGATAAGTGGACAATTGTATCTAACACTGCACTTAGAAGCTCGTAGTTTGAGAATGTAGGTACCTGTTAATTTAGTATTACCTACTACAGTTTCATGTGCACGTAATAAAAGGTCGATTGTAAATATGGAATGAAATCATGCATAGATAACAAGGCAGAGTACAAATTATTGCAAAAAAAACTCTAACTGACTTTTATAATGGAAATACCTTAACAATAACGCTCCAGAAAAAGTTAAATATTATAATTTTAAAGTTTTTAATGAAATTACATATGTAAGGCAATAGCTTTGAGGTTTCTATAATTTATTGTAGGCCAGAGTAAAAAGATGGACTTTTTCTGTATATTAAGGCAAATTTAGCATGAAGATAAGTTCAAAGTTGCTTTATTGATCGCATAATTTCGCAAAAAAGGACATGGGATTATTGTTTTACACTTCAGCAACTTTTGTGGTAGCTTTTGCTAACATTGAAGCAAAAAAGCAATCTATAGTGTCTTTCTACTTAAGAATCCCATCCACAGCCTAGTCGTCAGTGAGATAAATACAGAACACCGAAGTTCGTAACAGCCACTCTGAAGTAAACATCAAAAATATGCCTATAAATTCTTTAATTCAGACGACATTTTTTGCGATTTATATACCTTGAAATAATTTACGGCAATGTTTTAACATACACTTTAATCTTACTTTCAAAGTGAATGTGCTCCACTTATTATTTACGAAGCAAAAAATTGCCTTCGGATATAAAATTTCTCTACTCAAGAAAGCTTGTTCTCATTACCCTACTTTTTGCTAATTAGAAAGGCAAGTTAGGAGTTTTTTGGGCTAAAAAATGACAATTAAAATTCGTTCCAATGACAAAGTGCCAGTTTTGTTTAAGTTTGTATTAGGTTGGACGCAATCTGCAACTTCGTGTTTGTTTACCCCAGCTACTTCACTTTAATCGGTGATCCTTTGGTTTGACTATTTCTGTCAAAGCAATGAAACACTTAAGTAAAGAATCTTCAGCTTCGAGCAGAGACTTTGTGAAGCCATCAAGAATTAAATTAAGTCCAAAAATCAAAAGGGAATGGCGATCACCTTCTTTTCGTACTCGTCGGCGACTTAGATCTCCTGTCATTATTAATGAAAGTGAGCATGATGTTAAGCAAAAGCGCTCTCGACTCTCATCTCCAATTTTGGTAGATGATGATAATGGCATGGAGATCTCTAATTCTCGCGAACAAGCCCGTCGGAGCAAACCCGAGCGCTCTCCACTGAGGCATGCACAAACAGATCCCAACCGTGGTCTCAAGGAAGAACATCATGAGACCGCTGACAGTGAAATAAAGTGGGGCAGGCGGGTGGAACGCGGTGAGGATACTAGAAAATCGAAGTCGAACAAACCCAAAGAACAACCCAATTTTGAACTTTCAGGCAGGTTTTTTTTCACTCGTAACTGAATTCAACCATATTTCTTTATCGCTTATGCTTCATATAATGCTGCATAATTTTCACTTTTGTTGGCGTCTTTCGTAAATATTTCGGTGACTTGCTTTTTTTAAAATTAGGAGCGCTGGCTGCTGATACGAACACTTACAAAGGAGTCGTAATTAAGTACAATGAACCTGATGATGCTCGTAAACCATCAGCCTTTTGGCGTCTCTATCCTTTCAAGGGTAAGGAGGCACTAAAAGTGATGCACATTCATCGGCAAAGCGGGTACCTAATCGGCAGGTCCCAGCAAATTGCAGATCTACCAATGGCGCATCCCAGCATTTCAAAACAGCATGCTGTCCTGCAGTTTCGATTTGTGAGCACTTTTATTTCCTGGTTTTTTAACTGACTTCTTCAACGTATTTCTACTACCCAAAGTTGATAGAACCTCTTATGAGGTTGTATGTATGCATAACTGGGCATGAGGCATTTCCCCACTGTTTGTATTGTTGTGTTCATTGGTAGTATAACGTTCTCTTACAGTGGACTGTTGCCTCGAGAACTGCAGTAATGAGCGTATTCTTTTAGCTCGTAATTTAATGTACATTATTAATTCGCGCCTGTTCCAACAAGTGTTCTGTTATTCTCGGTATGTTTGCAGAAGTCGTCCTACCGGCTTATCGTTATTGTTAACGTTTACATTTTAGACTAAAGGAAAAGTGAGGCTTTATGTCATCGATCTGGAGTCTGCAAACGGCACTTTTCTTAACAACAAAAAAATCGAACCTCGTCGGTATTACGAACTTCACGAAAAGGACGTTCTTAAGTTTGGATTTTCTACGAGGGAATATGTCGTCATGACCGACCAATTGGAAACCGACTCTGATAAAGATGAGTAATTCATACATGAACTTGTGTAAATCCTGTAAATAAATTTTTTATTGCTTTGAGTTCCTCCCGACAGCTTCTGGCACGCGTTTTTAATTAATTTTTATGATATTGCCGTCACTGTTCCTACTCTGATTTTGTTGTATTTCAGAAGATATTTTGTGGCCATGTGAAATTAAGCAACAATTTCATCCTTGGTGTTTATTAACTGCCGTGATCTAGGCAACCCTCTAATGAATTCCATATCATGTGCTTGTAATGTCGCTCGATCTTTTCGCTTGAATGAATGTAATAGTACACATTAGATACATTGTATTATGGCTGGCCTGAAATAATTAGGTGAAATGTTTAGACATTTTTCGTGTCAATATGTTAAATGCCTGCGGTTCTGTTGTTGCGGTTCTGTTCCCATTTACCTAAACTTCCCCGGCCTCAGGACTTCTTGTCCGTTAGTAGAAGCTTCGGGTAGCTTGTTGACATGTTCGATAACCAATTTTTACGGGCCTGTGAGTCAGTCCAGTAGTTCTATCAGAACTTAAAATAAATTTCAACAATCAAAGCAGCTGAGTGCGTGCCCTGGGCCCTCATGGACAGCTTTCCTGCCCTTCTCTAATTGTAAAAATTACTCGCATGATTACTTGTTGTGACGTGTAGTGTCTCGAGAGTTTTCCCCTTCTCGGTAAGAGCCTTGCTTTGAGACATCGACAGCACTTGCTCTGTGCAACAAGCTGTTGCGATTTCTTAGTTGACATATACATCAAACGTCCTCTTAAGCGAACCAAAGCCTTGCCGAAGATCTGTAGCCTCTTGAATCTTTTGTTTCGGACTCACGTTTTTAATCCAACTACCACCTGTAAAATCATCTTTCCAGATATTTTGCAGTCCCAATTTTAGACTAAATTGAGTTCATCTTTGTTTCTATAACTAAAGTAATTTCAAAACAGCTTTAATTTCCCTTGATCTAAGACCCAGGTTTGGTTTGCAGAAGTAAAAGCCCTATGTGGGATATCTACAGAGCCGAATCCCAGTCTGGAATTTTTTTGGTGCAACACTCAAGTATACAAGTATTTGCAGTATTCGGGATGGCAGGCGCATCGTTTTATCCACTCGAGGTTGTGCTCTAGAAGTTGCCCATCAGTGCAGCGGAATTTGATCTTCGTCGTCTTAGTCTCTACTGGAACGCAACACCGCGCTTTGGGTGTACTACATGGGGCGCAGTACTTTGGGCGGTAGCGACGAGAGCTCACACAGACAATTACGGGAGGGGGAGACGTCTGGTAATCTTCTGCTGTCGAATGTCTGGTAGTTTTGTTCCGAAGTATCATTAGGCGGAAGGACTGGGGTTGGTCCACGCGCTTTGTAGGTGCACATCTGAGTGATGTTGCCTTTAACAACAAAAACACCATTATAGAAAAAACCTGGTGAATTTCTAGGAGCTTTATTTCAGGTTAAATTTTCCACCTTTTACGTTGAGCAGAGGCTCAATTACCCCGAACTGGATGTGCGTTACGTTTTAACGTTGCCTTACATTTAAGTTCTTTTTTAAGGATCAACAACTAAAGTGCTTCCTTAGTTACTCCTCTTTTAGGTGAAGAGTCATCTGAATAATTTCCTTGGGAGGCCATCAAGTACGTCATGTGAACCTGACAGATCACGTACAGTGAGCAAACAACTTACGACAATTAAAAATGCTAGGGTAGCCAATCTGGTAAAAGTAAATACCGCAGTAGCATAGGAAAGCTCCAAATGGAGTAGGTTACGAAGTAATTTTGTGCTCTAGTTTATGACATTAATGTCCAACGGAATCCGACAAACTCGTTTAAACTTTTGTGTTTGTTGGGTTAATGATTGTGGCCAGAAATGAATCCTCGTTGAGCAACGAGACGGAATCACACTGATTGGTCACCAAACGCCAGTACAATGAAGGCTGATGTTCTTCCAACGTTAAGGTCACCACTTGTTGTGGGCTCTAGCATGTGGTCTTGAACCATGCCGGGGGCCACTGAGTTGGATCTGGCCTGAATACGCTTCCCTGCTACTCGCAGTGGAGAAGTCCGGAGAGAACATGGAAAACAAGCGTTTACTTCAGACCTCAACCAAGTGTGGCGTTTGCGCGTGTGCATTTATACCTCGAATGGGTGTCATAGATTCCCTAACATCGAGACCTACGTGTGCGGAGAATCGTTCGCGCTAATGAGGGGGAGCTGAGGATCCGCGCGGCTGGCGACATGCTGTGAAAAGGGGAACCCCGAGTCGGTGGTTGGAGTGATCGAATTAAGGAGTGTGTACGCGATTCACAACAGTGGTGACCTATTGGCCTTTGTCTGGTTAACTTGGGCACCATTCCAGCCTAGCAGCTAGGGTTTTCTCAGTTAGGGTCGACTTTACAGATTTCATTTCCAAGTATCTGCAAGCCATCCATCATGATGAAAACCTAGATGGCGAAAATGTGATGTATCGAAGGAAATGTAATAGGTCGAAAAAGTCTATCAGATGCTACAGTAATAAGCATATTCCACTTTCATTCTTTCACACTTTCACCACATTAATTTGTTTTCGGGGATCTGAAAGTTGCAACAAAGTTGAGTTTAAGCATTACAATTACCTGCCGAATTTTTTTGAGCTTTAAGCAAACATTTGTAGCCAAGATGGGCATCACACAGCCTGAATTCTCGAAACATTCTCTGCATTTTTGTCCAAATAGAAGAGACAGCAAACCAAGTCACATGTCAGTTAAGCAGTGACATTTCGCGTGTCTTTTCAATTTAAAACTGTTCAAACTAATTACATTTAAACCTGTAAATAACTCTTTAAGTGTTTCCGCCTGCGTGATTACTAAAACGCCGCCTGTTCACTTGGGTACATTTTTGAGTTCTATCCCTCCCCGTTTGGTTCTCTGGTTCAAATTAGCCATGTATAGGCGATGATGACTCTTGGCCACGGCCAGTGATTTGATCATACCTCCTCACTGTGTTCTGGACTTCGTACCTCCTCTATACTACTCAACCTTAAAGAGGCTATTTCCAGAAATACTTTTCTAGAATTTTCTGATGCGTATATTGCTTACAAGAGAACGCGATTATCTGCGCGGTTAGTTCCAAGTCGTTGCTTCTCTTCCATCTCCTCACACCACCTCAGCACGTCAGCCTCACCAAAGGCTCGGTTTCTATCATTCTGCTATGCTCACAATAATTAGTACTTATTGATTAGTAATCAGTAAAAATAATGACCTAATCTTCTGTGATACCTATTTGGAGAAAGGATGAGTTTTAACAATCTCGGGGTGTTTTCAAAGTTGTACATTCATTATTTATCGACAAAAGTCATGGCTAGTTCCTGAGCGTAATTTGAGAAAGGCATTAGTCCGCATAATCCCTAATTAATCTCCTTCTTGCAAACTAATTTGATCTCAATTGTCCACCTTCTTATTTACTAATTCTTTGCTTTGAGCCCCTTATCATAGATATCATACATGTTTCCAAATTGTACTCACGTAATTTAATAATTTGTGAAAATTCCACACGTCTAGCACCTCTTCCAATTATCTTACAGGACTACATTTAGAAGCCTGAGGTCTAATTTAGCAGACGCATTTTGGAAAAATTCAAAAAGTCACTACAAGGGTTCTCTGCATTTTCCTTGCGAAAATCACTGCAAATATTGATGCTGGCCGAACAGGCGACTTAACCTTTTATGTCGCCTTAAAGAAGACTCCAACTCCCAGTATTGATGGTTGTTTTTTTTCTCATTTTTTATCAAAACCAGTACTTTTGGAATTCCAGAACGTCTTTTTTAATTGTGTTAACCAGTAAGGTCACGAATTTAAAAATTCCTGTCACATTTATTTTGCCTCCGTAAAGAACGCTGCATTTAGTTATAATTCTCATGGCCTTGCACATGAAATTTGAGATTATAAATAAATGTTTTTTTTTTAAATTCTCTCCTCTCCTTAGGTCGGTGTAAACTTAAGGTCTTTTGCATTTTGTTTGCTGGCTTGTGGTGCACTCGGCAGAGAGGGTATTTATGAGTCGATGGTTTTGTCCGCTCACGGTCACAGTTCACGTTGGTCAATTCGTGGCATGGCGTTTGTTGTTTTTTTCACTGTAAAGCAGATGGTCTATCACAGATATGAATAAACTGCCTCTGAGAATGGCTTTAATAGCCTACTAGATTCAAATTGAGGGATTTAAAGGCAATTTGTTAACTTGGACTTCGATACTTGCACTATTGGTTGAAATGAATATTTGAATGCAGATTCCAGCAATACGAAATGATTTCATCTTGAAACAGTCACGTCGTATGTTTACCTTGCTGCACGGCTTCCAATGGCAGAGTTGGGCTTCCGTTTGGTTGCGGCATTCGGTGTTGTTGTTAGTCACCCGGAACGACACCCCGAGGCCACAGGTCTTGCTGCAGGGGCTCCACTGTGTGCTGAGAGGGGGCTCTGACTTACAGAGGCTTTCTGAAGTAAGACAAACTTTATGAATTAGCTGCGTCCAAAACAGGAGCATAGTTATCAACTGTATGACTAAGTAGTCTGTTTGAGATATTTCACATTCTGATTTGTTAATGTCACTAAAACCTGACAGTAATGTAGGTATGTTGAAAATGCATGAAGTTTGGCTTGGGCTATATCTCTGAAACATGGTGTAATTGCTGTAAAAGTAGCCTAAGGACAACTTCAACTCCCTTTAACACGAGAGCGTCTATTGAAAGATGCAGCAGCAATAGCAAAATCTTTAAAATTGACTTTCATGTGTCCTTTGGCCATACCATTTTCCCATTCTTGTAAGATCGAGTAAATGGTACCTAATTTTAGCCCTCTACGGAAGTGTTGGCCTGCAAACTACTAATTTGTGTACCAGATTGGCCAACTGCTTATTGGAAAACAGATTACAAGGCCCGAGACTTTCCCATTCCTACGCATTTTACCACATAACCAAAAGAGTCAGAAAGCCTAGGCAGAACGCAGGGTGTTAAAGCCGTTAAGTAGGCTCTAGTTCAAGGGGATGAGACTGCTCTGAAATGCAGCCTACCATTGAGAACTCAACATAGTTAATGTAATGCATTCTGGTGCAAAGCCTCAAATTATCTGCTAGCATCCTGATATTCCTGCTAATAAACTGTCGATGCACACTACCGAAACGACCTCATCGGCTCGATTAACGGTTGGGGCCTTAACCGTCTTTAGTCTCCCCATTCCTCTTGAAGTATTTTGTGGAGCATCGTGCTGCAACGCGCTCAATGTCTGCAGAAATTGTTTTGACGCATGGGATTTCGAAATGTTCAAGTAAAGTTTCTATGAGTACAAGTTGCATGGTTCGGGAATTTAGGTAATGAAAAATTATCCAGTGATTTAAATAAATGATATTTAACACAGAAGCCCTCTTTCTTATAATTAACACCTAATAAATGTTCGATTTTGAGCCACCGTAGATCGAGTCGATAAGAATGTCTGAAGCTTATCCCTACCTGAAAACTGTCTGGCCGCTAATTTGAGGTGGCGGTTCGGCACTGATAGGTTAAAACAATTCATTGGGTTTGAGTTCGAGAGCCTTTACCGAGATCTTACCTGGTGGATTTTGATTCTGGAAAGAGTCACAGGAAGAGGGACAATTGTATGACTCGGACGCACACATATCCCTGCAGAGAAGTACCCCATCGTCGCAGAGACATTCGGTACGGCAGTCGGGACGCAAAATTTCACCATGATATAAAAGTGTATTTAATGTTAAGCACGAATTCCATTGCCTGTCTGGATGCTAAAATCAAATAAATCGTCAAGGCTATCCACTTATCTGCGATATGTAGCAATGGCAAATGCATAATTTGACATGACATTGTACGCGTTAACTCACTATCTTCGACCATCATCTTCCAGCTCTCGCATTATTCGCATCTATCCTAAGGTCTAGCCTTTGAGGCAGAAACACTCGGTAAAAGAGGAAAATGCATTGCTCTGCGGTGGATTTCGCAAAACGTGTTGGAACAAACATCCATTTAGCATGGCGTCTCTTATCGATTTTCTGATTTAACAATTCACTTCATGTCGATTATCTGATTTGATAATCCAAGTTTAATTAAAGTGGATCTGGTTTTTTACTTGTGGCAGGCATCCAAGTAAAAGGCATTAACAACACATGAACTACTAGGTGTCCTGTTTGGCGATTAGTTCACTGAGAAGTTATTGTAGGAGGGATTGAAATTCTACATTGGACTTCAGGGCTGAAGTAAAATGGAACAAACGCAACTGAATTTAATGCTTCTGCCAAAATATGGAACCTAACACGATTTTAACGACGTTGACGGTATTTGGAATGAAAAGGGACTCTCAAAATGAAGTGTCAATTAAGCTACTCAAGGACTTACAGCATCCCAACCCACCGTTTTGTTCACAATCCTGTTCGATTTAGCCTCGGGCACGTTCAGGCACAGAGTCAACAGTAAGATAAACTTCATGCTTAAGCCAAACATTACGCAGATTCAAACATAGGAAATGGTCCATTTCTCTATAAACGCCCACTTATATAATGATTTGTGCATCAATTAGCTAGAGCCAATAGAATGGACTTCAATAACAAATGCATCTGCAACTCAACTTCTTCACTGCACGCAATTCGTAATAAAGCATTTTAATGCGATTGTTTGGCCCCATCAACCCCATTACATAGCCTTTTCCTTTGGATGTGTCAATTACTGGACTCGTTATCGCTGAATAAACAGAATAGTGCTTTAATTAAAGCATTCAACTTATGGATGACCCTACTGCAACGAAATACTGGAGGCTAGGAATGATTATACCAATTTCGCCTTCACACGTAGACAAAACATGAGAGAACATTGATATAAGAGTCGTTGCATTATTTTAATAAGTATGACTTGCTCACGATAAAGCAGCTTATTCCCGAATTAGGCAAGCCCTCTCGCTTGCTGTGACAGCACATTCTGTTCTGGTTGTTGCCAAATCAGTCGCAGCCCATTCTGTAAGATGTGTAAATTCATTTAGAAGCAAACATCAGATTTGATTCGTGGCTTTCTTGACTCTCATCTCTTTTAGGCACAACTTTGCTTACCACAAATTTGTTGGCTGGATCACACTGGTTTGCCTGTCCATCAAAAAAATCAATACCATAATGTGTATACTCACAACTCCACGAGCAGATGCGCAGTAGATCGTCAAAATAACATTAAAGTGGACCGTCTGCCACACTTTGCTTGCTGTTTGTTGACATCGCGTTATGCGCCTCAACGTTCCAAGGCCCATAAGTCTTCATTAAATTTTTGGTTATGCCTATGGAAGCTTCTGAAACCCACAGCACCTTTTAAGGCACATTATTACCGTCTTGTACTTGTTTTAAAACTACTGCTAACCATCTCTTTGTTACAATTGATTTGTGTTACATAACTATGTGGCGATTGGTGACTTCAAGGATAAAACAGACCAATTAATCAGCAGTGGACCATTCCGCTTGCTTAAGCGTGAGGCTACGACACACACACTTCGTTGGCTCACCCCTCTGCTGTGAGTGCGAAGCAGTTTTACACATCAGTAATCTCTCAAAGAATGTCATCAGTTCCATCTTGTCAGCCACCAAACTTTCCCTCAAAAACATTGAGAGGGCTCCCCATTTACTTGCAAGCCCTATGTACATCCAGCGCACTACAAGACCCAGTTCAGTGGAATCACATAAGATGCTACCCAGACCTAAGAGCCTCCACGAAGGCCCTGTTCACCATCTGTGTGATGTTTGCAGCTGCAGTTCGGTCTTTTCCCTAACAGAATTGCCACTATTTCAATGAAACCGAGCATCTGGTCCTGGACAATCGCGAACACCTAAAAAAATCCTCTACAACCTAGCCCCAAGACACGTGGTTTCCTGTAGTTTTTCTTTTAACATACACAATTAAACTCTCGTCCCTTCGATGCAAGAACAAGCCCCCACAGACAATAATGTCACTTAGCTGGCCTAATGGCCCCTATACATAAATCAATACTAACTCTATTGGCAAACACCCGATAAAAGAACAATGGGAACTCCGCTGGGGTACACAGATTATTTTCTTAGAGATGGTATTTCTTAATTCGCAAGTTTGAAGTGAGCTTCGTCCCCGGTTTCCTTCAATGAGGGAAGTTTTGAAGCAGCGCCTTGAGGAAATAACAAGAGGAGGCAAGTGACGTTATCACCGGACAGTCTTTGGAGGACGGCTTCTTGGACCAATTCTGAACAGATTGCATTGAGGGCCCTTTGTGTGGCATGGCTATCGCTAGTCTCTGGTAGCATCTCCTGAAGGATAAGCGAAATGTGCAGAAATTAGCACAAATGCAGGAGGATAATTTCAAGAACTTGTCATACTACAGTTTATGCAAAAATAAAAAACTTGTTCCAATCGTGGATGTACGACGTCAAAACATGTATCCTATATTCAGTTTTGTATACGAAGCCTACACATCATGCTATAAATCACGGAGATAAAAAATAATCAATAAACCATTTACCACGAGACTGGTAAAGTCAAATGGAAAATGAACATTTTAAATCGACTATTGATTTCAGGGCAACACATTCACACAAGTGGTCACACAGGTTTGTAAATTGAATTTGCAGTTATTTCGAAGAAATTCCTAGAAATATTCAAACGCTGATCCTCCAATTGATGCATATCTTTGATTGGAGTAAGTTGATAAGGGCAAGGAGTTACATATGGGGCTGATCGTTAGCTTTTAAGCAAGCAAAATCCAATGTAACAGAATTCTATTGCACTAACCAATGAATATGAAATTTAAGGCCTCATTGGATGCACAAACACATTGCTTGGTAGTTACGATAATCAGTCTATAAACACATTCTTTGCGGTGGGGATTTTGAACAAGAATAAGCGGGAAATAATCACAAGTATTGAATCCCTGCATTTCACAAATGTCGTCAAATTGGGTACAACGTAGTGGTTGCGCAGACTAGATACCAACAAGAACTAATGGTGCTATTGACTGATACCCTAGTAGGTCTAGAGCAATCTAAATCTGCCATTAACCACTTGGGACTTCCATGAACCCAAAAGACTGCGATTGACCAGCATGTGAAAAATAATAGCAGAGGAACATGACTTAAGGATTTACCTCTCCAGATGCAAACTTTGACAGGGTTGGATTTGCGGATATAAGCCGGTCAACTTTGTCAACGGCTTCCTGGGGAGAGAAGCACTTCCACAACCCATCACATGCAATCAGAATGAACCTACGAAAACAAGGGTTAAAGTGAAATCAAAGTGGTACCAGCCTATCGTGAAAACTTAACGTATCGATGTCACAAGATGACCTAGGAAGGTTTAGGTATTCAAGGCTGATAAATTCAGTCAAAGTAAGTAGCCCTTACCTTAAGCTAGCTGATACGACCCAAAACCAGACAACTATGAAGTTGGGAACTCATACAAATTGAATGCAAGTGCTGCAACGAAAAACCTAAATCGCTGACTTTTGGAGCACTGCGCGTCTGAGGGCTTAGAAACTGGGGCATTGCCTTGTACCATGCAAGATAAAATTTAGTCGAGAAGTGACAGTCAGCTGTACACGCGAATTCAGATGAGTTGCTTTTAACTTGAGCGTGTTTCACCCGAACTGGTCCTGAGGCAACAGTTCGGTAAATGAAGTGAGCATACATCACTAGAAGTTTTTAGTTGCTTGACGTCAAGCAAATTACAGAAAAAAAAGACATACCGATCGCGCCCACGAACCAATTCGTACTTTTTGACATCCGGGATACATGTGACCCCATGCCTCTTGAATTGATAGTCTCCAAAAGACCGACTGACTTCCAGTTGTCCATTAACTCTTCCGTCAATTATTCGGATGCCCGAAGTTCGGGCTAGCCGCTCACGTTCTCCCGGATCAAGCGGAGTGTGATCTCGGGTCAACTGGATGCCTGTCAGAGAGGTGGAGGCCAGCTTGTCCTCTTGCTTTCCCCGGTAACGCGCAATCACAACCTTTAACAGAAAAACCATTGCAAGACATTCCAGAAAACTAAAAAGGCTTCTCTTTCACACCCACAAACGTAACGGCAGGATTTTGGCTGGGGACTCAACAATGTGTGGGAACATCTTTCTCGGTGTCTAAATAACCGAGGGTCAGCTGGGACAGCAAATAAAAATTCAGCAAACTGTGATTACCGCAACGATAAGGGTTACACATAGGGGCTTGTTACCGAACACCAACTATTAGTGACTTCGTAATGTAGAAAATACATAACGACTTATATTCCACTGAAAACATACTATTTTTGCCAGGATGACATTGTAACTTGGGAGTAGAAACAATTTTGAAGCACTTTTTACAAAATGTACAACATTTGAAATGTTACATACAGCAGAGTCACCAATATTCGCGATGTAGAGGGTGTTATTTACCAAAAGAACTGTGGTAGCAGTGGAACCATCTTTCCAATGGGGTCGTCTACAAGAGAAAAAAAGTTTCGGATTAAAACGGCCTTTTTACTCAAAAAACGAGAATTTAGCATGGAGACTTACTGACGTGATGCTTCCCTTAAAAACTCCTCATCAGTTTTCTTATAAACATCCAAGAGAATGCGTTTTATGTCTTTTTCTATTTGTGCTAAGTCTCCTGAAAAAGAAACAGGCAAAAGTGTAATTAAGAGACAACGAAAAACCAATTCTTTTACGGAAAAACATACCAGAGGGGAATTTGGCAGATAATTGCTCCATAATACGCTGTTTGGCAAAGTGAGCGGCTCTTGCTCCGCCGTGACCATCAAAGACACCAAAAAGACTTATTCTCTGACTACATTTCAAAAGTACAGGCGTTTATGTGTTAGTACACGGGGAAAATAGTACTAAGAGACAAAGCGCGTACGCTTCACCTGAATAGGCACCGGCAGCTACTTTTGATACAAAGTCAGGTATATTCAAATGCGTATCCTGCATTTCTGTGCGTTCACCTTTTTCTGCAGCTGTGCCGACAAGCAAATCGATGAGGTCTTGGCAAACATAGAGGAGGGTGAAAGCGCCTACCTATTAGAGGCCTTTTATCTGCAGGAGGACCGTCTTCATCGCCTCCGTCACCTACTTGTCTTTTCAAAGGTTTTGCTAAACAAATAAAATGACTGCATGAACGAGTATACATTCTGTGACAGGATCCGGTAAATCGTCAAAAAGACTCATAACGTTACCTAAAAAGACGAAACAATTGGTAAGACTGGTGAGATCGAACAGCAGAAGAGCAAAGAACCAAGGCTTATTTGTTTAGAGGCAAAGGGGGGGCAATTCGCATGACTCATTAAACATCTTTAACTATTCGTAGCCATGTAAAATACTGGCTACGCCTCGAAGACACACTTTAATTTGGTCATCTACAGCTTCGCATCACTGAGACCAAACCTGGAGTAGAAATCAAGGCAATGCGTTGACTAAACCAAAAACGCTGCAATAAAAGCAGATAGGCTAAAGGGAGAACCACTGTACTTCTCAAAAATGTTAAAGCCCACGGCAGGACCTATTTCTGCTTCCAGCTTCTGTACGGGTTTGCTAATCTGCCTTGTTTACTCAAACATGACACTATACTCTCTAAGCATCACAAACTAGGCAAAGTGGTATCTTTATCCTGTGCCCTAACTTATGATAATTAACTCTTCACTTTAAGCTCTCGCTTGATAGATCTCGATTGTGGCTGACTTCAAACAACCGCATAGTGGGCTATATGTTCAGAACAATAGGGGCAACCATTAGCAGGAAACTTCCATACCACAAAATTTCACAAATTGAAACAGACTGTGAAACTATGATTAGATACCGAACGAAGGTGATTTTAGGCGCGTAAAACTGCATAGATACGATAAGGCACTGAACCAATGCAAGGCGTCGAGATAGACCTAGCCTGATTTATCCAGGTACATCAACACAATTTAAATTAATCTTATTATGCCAAAGAGGTAGATTGTAATATTTATAGCAGACACATACTGTCGAATTCCACATGTGGTCACACCAAGACAAGTGAATATACATTCGAAACGACTGAAAGATTTGCGAAGAGGCGTTAGTTTGAAGTTAGGAACATAAATTGATACGGACGATTAGTTCGGAGTGACGGATTTGTGACCTCTCTATTAGAATAAAAAACTGAAGATTCCAAACTAACAACTCACAATAAAAATCTATCATAGAAAATAATATCAATAAGAACGGAAGGAACATGTTTTGAATCCAAAAATATGAGTCTGATATTGGCACCACGGGGAGTGAACACAATTGGGGTTTACAACGACATTCATCAGTACATATTTTCGAAGTAATAATGTACGTTACCAGATTTATAATGGTGAAACTGTTACCCTTATGAAATACTTGGTCGTTGTGGACAGAACAAAAATAAACCGGTTAGGGTTGTTTCGAGTAAATGAGGTTTAAGTCCTAATGTTCTTGAAAAACACGACTCAGCAATCATGCTCTAAAATGAACACCTTCCCCACTACACAAACATAAATAACAAACACAAACACTGGCAGACACGACCTACTTCAGTACTTACGCGACTATGTAGAGATGTGATTTGTTGTGTAGCGTTGTGGTGTGATGTTGTGGTGTGGTGTGGTGTGGCGTCGGATTAAAGCGCAGACATATTGGACCACCTGGCCTCAGCCAATCCTGTGTCTCTCTA